GTGCTTTACTATTTCAAAAAAACTTTCCCAAAAATTGTCATTTGATTTTTCAAAATCCTGTGGGGTAGAAAAAGCAGGTACAATGTGCATTTTACAGATCAGGAGAAATTGCTGTGGTTTTATGGCTTATGCTCAGTGTCACACAACTAGCTAGTGTTTTGAGTTTCGTTAGGTGCTCTTTTGATTACAACACCCAAAGGAAAGGAAGGCTGGAAATTTGAAAGACCTATCATATACTGGGATTATGGTCTTTAATGTGGGCGAACAAAATGGCGAGTACTTGAACACAAGGGAATTTGGTTTTGCTGTTTGTCTTCCTAACTCTTAAAATCTGAATGTTTCATAAATAAATCTACTGGATTTTATAGATTTGTTTTGGCATCTTTGTGCCTTTCCTAAGTATGTCACCAAAATGTCAAAGAGTGTTGACATTTCAGTTGGTTTAGAATGGCCTTTTATTTATAAAAGGGAATAGAATAGGGCTGATATGCAAACTGGGAGGTTTTCCATATGGAACATAACATATGCACATATCATAATATATTTTATTGAATTGTTTTGAAAATTCATGGCCCATCTATTAAAATATTCAGACGATGGATGCTTCTTTCTCTCTGAAGCATTTTTACTTATATAAATTACTATTAAGAAATTATAAATATATACCCCCTCTCATGAGTGGTCTACAAAAGAAAAATGAATTTTTCTTGACAAATCAGTTATTAATTCAACTCTATTCAAATACACTAGTACTCTCAATAGCACTAAACATTGCTGCATTTGGTAACACAACTCCCACAAAGTTCTCAGATTTTCATGATTTTTGAACATGGGAGGATATTACATTTTTAATTCTTATCCCTCAGAATCATAAGTATACTACCATCAGTGTTTTTATTTCTACTGGCACCTTTCATTTCTAACTTCCTGCTTTTCTTGTAAAAAAGGAACTCAGAAAATAACCAGTAATTGTAATGATGTTTAAAACCAGAACTAAACAGGCTCTACATAAGCATTTAAATCATGATGGTGGTTATACGAACCAGCCTGTGCAGGTTTAAAGCTTATAGCTTAGTAGTTAGGTAACACTGGACAACTTCCTTTAAAAAAAATTGTGCCTCTGGGACAGGCATGGTGGCTCATACCTATAATCACAGCACTTTGGGAGGCTGAGGCAGACTGAAAACCCAAGGTTGGGAGTTTGAGACCAGCCTGACCAACATGAAGAAACCACATCTCTACTAAAAGTACAGAATTAGCTGGGCATGGTGGTGCACGTCTTTAATCCTAGCTACTAGGGAGGCTGAGGCAGAAGAATCTCTTGCACTGGGGCAGCAGAGATTGCGGTGAGCCAAGATGTTGCCATTATACTCCAGCCTAAGCAGCAAGAGTGAAACTCCATCTCAAAAAAATTAATTAATTAACTAATTAAATAAAATTGTGCTTCTGGTGATTAAATAAGTCGATACTTGGAAAGTGAATTTGGATCCCTGGTGGTAGATGAAAGACATATCAAAAACTTCTTATGGGATTCTAAGGAGCAGCCGTTCATCAGAATTAGAGGTTCTCAGTCTGACTGCATATTAGAATTATCTGGTACTCTTAAAATAACTAATGCTGGCCGGGCACGGTGGCTCACGACTGTGATCCTAGCACTTTGAGAGGCCGAGGTGGGCAGATCACGAGGTGAAGAGATCGAGACCATCCTGGCCAACATGGTGAAACCCCATCTCTACTAAAAATACAAAAATTAGCTGGGCATGGTGGCACACACCTGTAATCCCAGGTACTCGGGAGGCTGAGGCAGGAGAATTGCTTGAACCCGGGAGAATGAGGTTGCAGTGAGCCGAGATCACGCCACTGCACTGCAGCCTGGCACCTGGTGACAAAACAAGACTCTGTCTCAAAAAAAGAAAAAGAAAAAAGAAATGACTAATGCTTGGGCCCTCTATTCATTTCCTATTTTTACTGAAACAATTTACCATAAATCTTGTAGCTCATAACAACACAATTGTTATTTTAGAGCTCTGGAGCTCAGAAGTCCAAAATGAGTCTCCTTGACCAGCCTCAAGATGTCAGCAGGGCTGTGTTCTTTTACAGAGGTTCCCAGGGAGAATGCATTTTCTTGCCTTTGTGGCTTCCAGATGCCACCTGCATTCCTTGGCTGGTGGCCTCTTCTTCCAGCTTTAAAGCCAGCAATGGCTGGCAGAGTCTTTCTCCTGTGCATCACTCTGACACTGCCTCTTCTTCCTCTACTACATTTAAAGACTTCTGTCATTATATTGGGCCCGCCTGGATATCTCAGAATAATCTTTCAATTTTAAGATCAGCTGATTAGTAACCTTAATTCCTTTTTGCCATGTAACATAGTCCCACGTTTCAGGAATTAGAACAAAAGCATCTTTGGGAAGCCATTATAGCTTCCTGCTACTGCAGGCTCCCACCCTCCAAAGACTAAGATTGGATTGCTCTTTCAGGGGTATGTTTCAAAAACTGGCTAGGTGATTCTAATGTCTAGCTTCCTTTAAAGTCTACTGATGTAAATATTCACAGAGTTTCGTGAAACATTATCACCATGAAATGTTCAATAATGATCAGATTAGGTTTGGAAAGTATTTAATTAAATACATTAGAGGTTAAAGAGAGTAAAAAGCTCTGTAACAGAGAAATCTGTTCACCCTATTTAACTAGCTTCTCAAACTTCTTGGTGTAACATCCACTAAGGGCCTAAGTAGTCATTTCTCTATGTAAGTCATCTGGAATTGAGTGTTCTTGGGAGGAAAATGTTGGAGTGTAATGGCACTTATTTTATTTATTTTTTCACTCTAATGCTTTTTAAAACATTTTTGTTTTCCTATTAAACTATCTGTTGAAGTGGGACATTTCAAGTGATTAAAATTAAGATGCAAGGCAATCTATTCAGTATTGTACAACTACACATAATAAAAATAAAGTTGTCAATACAGTATAATTATAATTTGAGGAGAGACCAAAAAAATGAGACCCCAAAGCAGAATTTCTTTATTAAATAAAAAACTGGGACGGGCTTGGCTATAAAAAATCATATAATGACTCAGTGGCATAAATGAAATTTTATCTGTTCATTTTATATACTTATATTGTGAAGGCAGGCAATATCTGAAAAATTATGAAATTTATGTCCATATTTTCTAGAAGACTTGTTCATATATAAACTATTTTCCTCTGTCCTCTCTGCAGAAATCTACCTTCCTAAATAGCAAATTATATGGATCATATGCTATTTGAAAAATTTTGTATCTATTGAAAAGAAACTTATGATTATCTACATTCCATGTCTGGACTGTCCCCAAGTGCTAACTGCATTTATAGCACAAGGTGGATATTCTACAGGCAGTCATTAGAGACTTTGTCCATAAAATTTCAGACCTGAAGCTACTGTAGCAAGCAATGTATAAACATTGTCCTGCTCCCTAGCTAAAAAAAAATATGGTTCAGGGATTTTTCTCTACCTTGGAAGTGATACAGAGTGACACACTGTATAAAGTATTGGTTAAACACATAGCTCTGGAATCCAAGCTACGTATGTTCAAATCCTGACTTCCTTTTTTATTGGCTATATCACCTTTATGGCCTATGATTTCTATTCTATAAAATTGGCATAATAATGATATCTCAATGGCTGTAACTTTTTAGACTCACTAGATGTTATCTCTTATTTTTGGCTCATTACATTTACATTTAGTATGAGCAGTTTTATTAAATGCCTACCAATTTAGTTTAAATATATCTTATACATTTTATAAAGAGCAAATTTGCAACTTATATAAGAAGTTAAGAAACTATGATGTGAAATACTGCTATATCAGATATGTATAATTTTTCTACTAATTAATGTTATTCATTTTTTTAAAAAATAGAATCAGTTTTAGAAGTTTAGTTCCCATATTTACATATAAAATCACTGAGTCCAAAAGAGACTAAGTGACTTACATATTTTTACAATACATAAAATATAAAGGATAAAAAGGCAAATTTGCAACATGTTATGCTTAAGCAATTTTACTGTATTAAGATCTAAAAACTACTTTAAAATACTTGAAAGCTTTTGGAATTAAAATTCTACAAAAAATTCATTCAGAAAACCTGCACTGAATGCTAACTGTGTGACAGACACTGTCCTGATGCAAAAAAAAAAAAAAAAAAAAAAAAAAAAAAAAAAAAAAAAAAAAAAAAGAACAATAATAAAAAGGTATGTGAGAATTAAGATTTATATTGAGAGTGTTAGAATGGGAGGCACCTGTTGACTCCAACACTCTTATGTAACTGATGAGGTTATCAAGTTTTAGAAAATGTTTAAACACCTTGCTTATAATCCCTCAGCCAGAAAATCATGTATCTAAGTTCTGCAATTCTGAGTGTGTCTACCCAGCAAATACTGACCTTTATAAGAGATTTTGAGACATACAGGGAATAAAGTTATGCAATCAGTGTACTGAATAAAAGAGGATAACTGCTGTCTTAGAAAATTTTCTTAGCATTTAATTTTAAAAATCCTAAAAAATATTTAGAACTTTCTCCCAGGACATTGAAATTTTTCAAAGGTTTTGAATTTAAAAAGCAGATTTTTGTTTTTGATATTTCAACTAGCAGTGAGCTACGTAGAAACAATAATAACCTGTCTACTAGCAGTTAGGGCAAGAAGCAGATGCCTTTCACTTTTCTCCCAATAGTGCTCTAATTGCCTGTGTATGCCCTGGAGTCTGAATCTGACCTTTCTCTGACCTGTACAGCTTACTTCATTCAAATTGAGAATTGTCGTCTTTCACCAATCTCCTTCTATTGGGCTTCTGCAGTATATAGTTCAGCAGGCTGAACTGAGAATTTCACTGGGTTCTGACTATGTCTTACCACTCTTTTAACTCCTGCCATTGTATACACATTGTGAAATTGAAAATAGATAGTCTTTTTTCCTTTACATTTGAAAAACATGCCATTTGAAAATAGAAATTCTTACTCACTAAGTACTTTTGCAGGGTTCAGTGCTGTGCTGGGCACCATCCATCCCAGTTTGTAACTGTTCCTCTTCTGTACTACTGTGAGAATTTTTCATTTGGTCTTCTTACTTCCAGTCTTGCCTATTCAGTGTTCCCAAATAATCTTAAATCCTACCTCCAATTATGTAATTCTGCTGATTAAAGAGTGAAAGTACTATCACACAAACACACACACACAAATGAGCGCAGGTTTTTAAAAAATGGTGAAAATAAAGTCTGCATTCTAGATAATAGTAATGTCAATTTTCTGGTTTTGATGTGCAATAGCTATACAAGATATCAGCACTGGGGGAGGTTGGGTGATGGGTACATTAGACTCTTTGTACTGTATACTTCCTGAGTCCACAATTATTTTAAAACAAAAAAGTTAAACTGTAAATGGATTCTTCAGATTTTAAAGTAAGTTTGAAACTCTGTATTGTATTTCAGCATACCCTCCAAAACAGAACCACTTAAACTCTTTTAAGTCTTGTGCTTATTAGGGTACTTTGGCCTTGACCTTCCAATGCCTCTCTCTTCCCCCATCTGACTTGACAAGCACATGGTCTCTTTCAAGGTGTACTGTAAATTCAGCTGCTCCCTTTAAGCACTGCCTGGTGACCAGGTAAATAATATCTCCCACCTGTGAAACTTTGCAGCCTCTTTTGATTTTTAGATCCACTAAATTGTAAGTTTTTGGAGGAAAGAGTTTGTAACTCACTTCCCCTTATAGTCTACACAGATTCTAATAAGTGCTCTGCTCAATATTTATTGAAATAAAATAAAATCAAGCATTAAGCCTTCAATATGCAAGGGCCATTGTCTTGCAGATGTGAAGGTGGAGATCAGTTCCAATCAACTAATAAATCTGAAAAAAGTTAAACACATTAAAGAACAAAATATGTATTTTTAATCTAATGTAACCTTTCATGCTGCAGAAGTTTTTTCTTTGAATGTTATTTTCTAGACACTAGAAAAAGATAATGTCCATTTACAGCTGATACATGCTTTAGAGTTGAACTTGAATATCAGATCCAGCCTATGCAACATTAAGGCAAATATTGTGGCATATATGTATCATACAAGTTTTGCACCAATTAAAAAGAAATGTAAAATTAAAAGGGTCTCTAAAACTGTACTTCAGTTTCACCCTTAGATAAATTAATTTTTTTCAGTATAAATGTCCTTTTCTTAGGGTACTTCCCCTTTACTGTCTCATTAATTTTTTCCAGTTCTAATAATAAATGGTCCAGCATATTTCTTCAGGGTCACTGGATTATAGCTCCTATCAAATAAGCTGAGCAGTGACCTCAATCTAAGATTTTTGATGCCACTTCAAGGTGGCTTTCCAATGCTGAAGCTCAAATAACTACTTGTCCAATACTCGTATGACATGGCATTATTACCTCAGCATCCATTTTAATGAAAGAATATTTAAGCAAATAAACAATAATATAAAATGCAAGAGTAAGCACAATAAAAATTAAACAGAACATGTGTACCTATTTGTTTAATGTGAATCTCTGTACCTAGTTTCTGAAGTTGCAAAAAGAACCTGTTTTAATCCACTGATAAAGGTAGGTTTTCTTAAATAATGTTTACTACCTTGAACTGTTTTTCATTTGAGGTAATTAAGACATTCTGAAATTAATTCACACTCAATAGTGCATATTGGGAGCCTCCTAAATGGCCAGTACTGTGTTAGACACTGAATCACTTCATTTGTTTTTCTAATCTTTGTCATGAATTTGAACATGGTAAATTATTTCCTCCAACCACAGTCAGTGCCTCTTTGTTAATAAAAAGCATTTTAGTGACCAAATTGGTGAGAACATTTACCACTCTCTGTCTTAGCATTTTTCAAGAATATAATACACTATGTTATTAACTCTAGTCACCATGTTGTAGAGTAGATTTTAAACTTATTCCTTCTAATATTTCAATTTTGTATCCTTTGACCAACATCTCTGAGTTAAACTAGATATGTGCTATTTTCTACGACTATGGAAAGTTCAAACCAGTTTCTAACTTGCTGATCTTTTAACAAGTAGCACAAACTTTCAAAGAACTCAGGATGGAGTAGGACTGAACTCTGTTGGGAAAGACTAATAAGTATCTTATCAGGAAGCTTATGTCCCAGATTCTACCCTCTGCACCATTTCCCGTCGCATCACAGTGTGCTGCTCTTTCTTCCTGTCAACTCAAAAGTTGAAGTAATTACATGGTGACAGTGGTTAACTTTTTCTTGGTGCTGCACATGTCCCAGTGACTATAGAGGCAAAATTGTCAGGATTTTCTGAAATTGCCAAAGTGCCAGGTGGTGATGCTTCTATTCCTTATGATGTGGTGGATATAAAACATGGTGTATATGTGTGTAAAATGATTCTTTCCCGATGCAATATTTCAGCTCTGCCATGACACAGAAAATTAACTTAATATGTATATGTTGAAATATCTGCTCTTATTAAAGACTTTTTGGATATATGTCACTATCCTTATTAACTAACTGGTTTTATAAAAAAGATTTTTTTGAGTGTTAAGTAATATTTGTTCTAAGGTAATATTTTAGACATTCAAGGGAGCATCCATTGTGCTATGTTTAAAGTATCTAATGAATATACTTAAGTAAATCAGTGTAAGAACTGTAAATAGTCCATCTTGTTCTACCTTTAAAACATATCTTTGGTATGTCTGCTCCACAAAATTCTTGCCCAAATCTTTGACTTCCATCACTGAGGAACTTATATGGACACCTTCAAATATTCACTGTTGCTCATGGAATAAAACCTAGGTTCTGTTTGGCAGAAGGCCTTCAAAATCTTGCTCCTACTACCTCTTCACCATCATCTCATAGCAGCTTTCATCTTGTTCACCACATTAGCCACAATGGCATTTCTTTTCCTTGAATATGCCTAGCCCTTCCCCACCTACAGGCTTTGCACGCCTTACCTCTTCTGCCAAGCCTTCTCATCACCAGTTCATTCTCATCCTTAGAAGCTCACTCAAATGTCTTATCATTTAGCAGACATACATGCATCTACTTATTTAAAGTATCATCCACAAGCAATCTCCAATTCATTATCCTGTTGTTTTCTACCTACCACTTAAGAACCTCTTATTATCTTGTTTATTTGCTTGGTTACTTTCTAGCACACCCACAAGAAAATAGGGTCCCTGAGCAGAACTACTTTATCTGTATGTACAGACTTTATCTATATGCACAGCTAGAACCCTGCCTTCTCTAAGCACTTGTTGAATCAAGAAATGATTAGTAAATAGCTCGATAATACATGACAGACCTTAAGACCTGATACACTTTATTCAAAATGTATATGAAAGAATAATAGTAAGAAGAAAAGTTTGTACATAGACATATCATGCCTATATTTTATGTGTTCCATTTCTGAGAGCATATGTATCTGATCCTTCATAGAAAGCCAATATGTAATTTTAAATTATGATTTAATATGGTTGTTTCACCAATTCATTAACTCTGTAATTCTAATCAATTATACAATAATTTTATTTTTATTAGATATCAATTACTTTTTTATTAGCTTTTTAGATGCCATGCATGAGCTTTGTGGGGAGTCATTAGCAAATGGGCATATTCACACTGTCTGTTGTGATCCAGTAACAAAGAGTACTAGGGCACTGATGGTTTTTAATAAATGCCAGGGAGTAGCAACGTATAATTTTAAAAGGCATTTAAATATGCAAAGGAGAAAAGACACTTGACAGTTTCATGCCACTTCGAGTTGGAGAATTCAGATTTGACTGCAAAGTATGTAGTGCTATATTCAATGGCACTATTTTATTTGGATTGAAAGGAAAAAGGGGGAAAAAAGACTTTCTAGTTTTTCTGAAGTTGGCTTCTGATGCGAAAATAGTAGATGGGAGAAATTTGACATTTAAGAAAACATTGTTTTGTCAGAAGAAAGGTTCCCAGGAGGACAATAAAATATTGCAAAGGTTATGTTCACCTCTTCAGCAAGGGTGTGGATTTATCTTGAAAAAATATATGTATAATGAAAAATTAAGAACGCATATTTGGTTGGTTGAGTGACATAGAGGGAATCATTCATTTAAAAATTCTACAGATTGTTTGATGCTTGCTTGCAAATCTGAGCAAGACTTTGATCAGTCAAATATACAGCAACATATGAAGACACAAACTGGAGATATCAAGACACACTGTGCATTTACATTTTCTCCATCTCAAGCTCTCCTTATTTCTGAAGTCCTTTGTCAGCAAGCTGACTGAAATCCTATGGCATGTGAAAGTTCCCTTTTCAAATTGTATTATCCTTATTTTTATAGATTATGTTTTCTCCTTTCTCAGCCAAGATACTAATATTATTCAAGTGCTTCAACTCTATATTGCTTGTACTTTGCAGACAATATTGGGTATCGCCTCTGGTTAAGCCACAAACCATGAAAAAAAAGCTGAGTTTTCTATATAACAGAAAACTTGTGTAGCAAGACAACAAAAGACTTTCACAGTTCATTCTTAAACCTGAATGAACCTGCTGCATTGATAAGAAGGCTAAAACTAGAATTATCATATTGCTCTAAGTCAGCCTTGCAGCAGTGCCCCTGAGCTATATATATAACTCACTTTATCTCATTCATTATTATTCCCAGATAAGGGGAAAGGAAAAATAAACTGCAATGTACATATTAATATTCAGGTTTTGTGAAAGAAAATGTAACTTTCTCTAGGAGGGTAAATGGTGATAAGGTTTTCCATGTGGAAATCTTTTGAAGAGTGATGTCAGATAGAAACCTAAACAGCAAGACTGATTTCTTAAAGAAAAAGAAAAGCATTTGGAGAAATTTTCCCTTTTTAAATTATTTAAAATATTGACTTTATTTTAGACTTGCAAATGTCAAAATTGTCATTTACAGACATGGCAAATGTAGAATCAGGTGCACAATTAACTTAGAAGTAAATACATTTTTGAAAATATGCCCACCAAAATATGAAAAAATATAGTCAGATTTTTTTTAAATCTTATCAGTTTTCAATTTTATCAAGTGCTAATGATTATTAATTGGAATTTTATTAAATACCAATGATTTTGAGACTAAAGGAAAATTATGCTTTCATTTCATCTTCTTATTCTCTAGAAATCTTTTTGACTTAAACCATTGTTAATATTCAATGTGGTCCATCCTCAGTCAGTGAAATTATTCCAGTCAACACATTTATATTAAAGTACTACTAACAATGGCTCAATATTTTACTTACAGGAAAGTTTTAGCTAAACAAAAGACTATAAGAGAGGGAGTGTTTTAATGCAAAGAAACAATTCTCAGATGCTAATTTTAGACATTTTTGCTACTATACACATATTATAGAAACATGGACTTCTACAATTAACATCACAAAGTTTATCACCTATTTTGTCTACATGTGGGCTCATAATTTTTTTTTTTTTTTTTTTGGTGTATAAACTATTTATTAACAGACAAGGCCTACAGACTTATTTGTTCTTGGAAACACCCATGGTGCAGCCACGGCGGCCAGTGGTCTTGGTGTGCTGGCCTCAGACATGAAGGCCACAGAAGTGACACAGCCCTCTATGGGCTCGAATCTTCTTCATTCGCTCCAGTTCTTCATAGAGCTTATTGTCCAGACTATTGGCTAAGACCTGGCTGTATTTTCCATCCTTTCCATCCTTCTGTCTGTTCAGAAACCAGTCTGGGATCTTGTACTGGTGTGGATTCTACATAATGGTGATCACACATTCCACCTCATCCTCAGTGAGTTCTCCCGTCCTCTTGGTGAGGTCAGTGTCTGCTTTCCTCAACACCACATGAGCATGTCTTCTGCCCACACACTAATGGCAGTGATGGCAAAGGCTATTTTCCACCGCCCATCGAGGCTGGTGTTGAGTACTCGCAAAATATACTGGAACTTTTCAGGGATCACTAGAGACATGGCGGCAGCACAAGCGGCAGCGTGTAGGCCTCCTGTGAAAGGGGCTCATACTTTTAAGACAGTGATCCTCCAATTTTAGCACACACTCGAATGTTCTGGGCAACAAAATACAGATATCTTAGTTTTACTCCCAGAGTTTCTGATTCAATAGATATGAGGTCAAGAATGAGTATTTCTAATTACCTCCAATGCTGCAAGTTGGTGACCACACTTTGAGAAATATTAATCTAACTCAGTGATTTTCATACTTGTCTGAAATCACCTGAAAACTCTAATAAAAACACAGATGCCATCCAGAGATTCGGATGTCATGTGTCTGCCACGTGACCTTTAAAAAAAAAATCTGTAGGTGATTATAACATGTTGATCTACTTATCAAAGTATTTCATTAGTGATAATACTAATAATATACAATAGGCAATATTGATTTTATACTTCAAATCGAATCTAACAATATTCGACATATGCTCATTAAACACCAGTTGTGTGTGCTAGGTGCTAGCAGTACACCGATCTGCAAAATACTCTGTGATCTGACTCCTGGAAATCTTCCTTATCTTATCTCTTAATCCTCTACTTCACACGCCCACCACCACTACTCTCCAACCTCAAAGGCTACCTTGTTGCTTCTTCACTACATGAAACAAACTCCAGCTTAGAGCCTTTGCACTCACTATCTACTTTCCCAGGAACAGGCTGCCCCTGTGTCTTCTTCCCTCAGTTCCTCTAGTTCTCAGCTCAAATATCACCACTTCAAAGAGGACTTTGTCTAAAAGAACCTTGCCTTCCAACCAATCTACTTGCTTCATCATCTTGCCCTTCTTTGTGTTCATAGCACTTAGTAGTATCTGAGTGAGTACAAGTGTATTTATCTATTGTCAGTCTCTTTCCACTGAACATAAGCTTCACTGGCATGTTACCAGAGCCTCAAGATGTGCCTGGTATATAACAGGGACTAAATAAATATTAAACAGATGGGGATGTAATAACAACAAAATGAACAGGTCTCTGATGTCAGGCAGCTTACCCTTGAATGGGGTATATAGTTTGTTTTTGTTTTTAAAGGGAGGCACTGTACAATGGGAGAATAGTGGTCTACATGGCTAGAAGAGCACAAAGGGCAAGAAACCCAGCCTGAAGTAATCAGAGAATACTCTTCAGCTGAAATGATTTGTAAACTGAGAGTAAAACTGAGTAGGCATCTTCCAAGGGAAAGGTGACAGGAGCTCAGCATAATGATGAATTTTTAAAAGTTTAATAGATAACTTAGCATGAGTCTACTAAAATTGCACTAAAAACTAAGAGCTCTAATTGAGCTATTAAACATACATAGGCTCAGATTGAAATCTGAGAGCATGATATCCTTGAAAGAAGGAATCAGACTGACAAATGTTTTCTCTTTTTTCCTGTTACTATTACTCCAGCAGTCATCCTGTGCAAATAGTAGGCTCTCTGTGCACATACTGATGAATAAGTGTATGAATAAAAGACCTGCAACCCATGAAAATTCCCACTTCTTTATATTTCCACAATGTCTTACATACAGCAAGGACTCAAATAATAATTATTGATCAATAATCCCCTAAAATGAATGATATCACACTTTACTCAAATGTCAAACTATGTGACTCATCCTACGTGAACATGAGTTAGATATTACTATTGTATCTGTCAAAATGAATCAATAATTATTTTATTCCATTTCGTTTTCTCCACAAGCTACCATGAAATGTGACTATGTTTCCAGTATTGATTTGATTTGTTGCTATTCATTTTTTTGCAAAAATGGTTCAGTAAATTATTTGGTGCAAGATGCCACTGTACTAACTAAAAGAGAGAGAAAAATTTTGCCTTTTGAACCTGTCAACCTGATAGAATAGTACATCTAAGTTTTGTAATTTTTCATCTTATTTTTAATCTTGAGCTATCTTCACAAATTCTTGCATTTTTTCATTGTGACAAAATTTTAAAATGACACCACAGAGAACATGGAATACTTCTCAGACAATTTAATTTTAAAAGTAATGAAGTTGAATTTAATAAACACCAACTTCTTCAATTCCACATCTTCTATATTAGAATGCCGAAACTACCAGAAACATTATTCAAGCAAATTAAACAGTATCTAATAAGTCCATCACAACTGAGGTAGGCAAACCCTAATGTGGCCCCTAAGTCCTCCCCCTCCTGGCATCCCTTTCTTTTGGCTGTGGGATGGGCCTATTAACTCAGTCTAACAAATGAAATATGCAAAAGTGATTGAATGTCACTTTCAGGAATTGACTAGGAAAAGTGGTACCTATCATAATCTCAAAAGACACAATCCCAAATGCCATAATCCTGAATGTTGAAATTGCAAAAGATTAAAATTCCTGAAAATCAAAATTCCTAAACTAAAATTCCTCATGTCCACAGTCCTGAAAATCACAATCCCAAAAGATTAAAGATCCCAAATATTAAAATCCTAAAAGCAAAACTCTGGGAAAAGGATTAGTGCATTTTCAGTTAAATGCTGGATAGTTGTTTGTGTTAGTTGCATCAAATTAAGTGGAAATTTACCTTGTGATTGTCTTTATTTGTATTTGGCAGAAAATTACACTTGTGGATTGGTCATGCAATATGGCATGATAAAAGTTTCAGTACCAAAATGCATTTGCATTGGCATTTCTTCCAGCCAATCAAATTCCAGGAGCTTTTAACGAATTCAAGCTGCATTTGCCTGAAGAAGACAGTGAAGTTACTAACTGGTTAGAAAATAATTATGCACATGGTAGGATAAGAAGACACTTATACAATCATGTTGCTGTTTAATCATCAGCATTGCTTCTGCCAAATTTGTGGTCCGTATATGAGTACATGTGGAATACATTTCAGCATACCCAAAGAAACACTGAAGCATGGCACAGAAAATGGGAAAAATTAAGAGGAAATATTAGTGATGATGTAGATTAAATCATAGATGAGATTCAATGAAAGTAATGCCATGTAGAAAATTAATGTAAACATATTCTCCAAGGAGAGCCATGCCCCAAAGAAAAAAAAAAGCAGTTATTTACTGCCATGAAAGACTTCAAAATACAGTTAATGATTGCGAAAGTTGGGAGCTCTTTTGGATGACCTCCTTGCAACTGCCCATAAGCTATGCCTTTTACATACTTTTTCATGTCAGATTTTTTTTTCACTTTTCAGGTTTTCCCCCACTATTTTAAATTGACAACATTATTTTTACAATTCCCTGTGCTATGTATTTCATCTTCACATCATTTCCAACGTTTTCAATATTGGAGGTATAAATTGTATAATTTTAGAGTTCTAATTTGTTTTACGTATTTTTTGCAAATTTTGACTCCATGAAAGTGCACTATCACAGTGTTGACTATGCACAAGCATTGTGTGTACATAAAAACATTGAAACTTCTTCCAAATATGACGGTATATGAAAGGTAAAATTTCTCAAGATCTCAACCCTTTGGGTGACTGCATATAGGGTGGAGATGATCACAGATTTTGACTGATCTCATCAAAAGACGTAGGTTGTCTGTAGCAGCTTTTTAGCTGACTGAAGTTGTAAAGCTGGGTGCACACAATTATCAACCATTTATCAATGTGTTTTGGACCTATATTTTTAAGAATACAGTTTGATCATAACTGCAACTTCACTTGAGACTGAACCAGAAGCACCTAGCTGAACCACACTTAGATTCCTAATTTACGGATTTTTGTGAGATAACAAATGTTTGTTGCTTTAAGCTGAGAACTTTGGAGCAATTTGCTACTAGTAATTTGTAACTAGCACAATAATAAAATCTAAAACAGGTGTCATTATTTGATTCCTTGTGTTCATGTTGTTGCCTTCTAGGCTCTTTTGTCTCCTCTGAGGTGATCTAGCACAGTGGGCAAAAGCGCTGACTCTGAAGGCAAACATCTGCAAGGGGATTGCTGCTCTCACCCTTACAGATAATGATATGGTGGTAATAGCATCTTACCCAGTAAGGCTGTGGTAGTGATGAGTAGATGAGGCGATAAAGTTCCTTACAGATACGTAATAGCCTGTCAGTGTAGCTGCTTATTATCCCCTCTTTATCTCTCTACATTTACATTCTATATTTCACTTCTCCTTTCTCCTCTTTGTTTTATATTCCTTTATTTTCTCATGGCTTTAAGAACCCTTTCAAGAAATATTCATTGAATTTCTACTATTTGCAAAACATCTGCTACAGTTTGAATACGGTTTATTTGGCCCTGCCAAGTCTCATGTTGAAATTTGATCCCCAGTGCTGTAGGCAAGGCCTAATGGGAAGTGTTCGGGTCATGAGGGCATATTCCTGAGTGGTGTGTGGACGGTAATGAGTGAGCCCTTACTCTCTTAGTTTCTGCAAGAGCTGGTTGTTTGAAAGAGCCTGACTCACTCCCAATCCCCTTCCTCTCTCACCATGTGATGTGCACATGATGCTGAAACCTCATTGCCTTTCTCCATGAGTGAAAGCTTCCTGACACCCTCATCCAAAGCAAATGTTGGCACCATGCTTTCTCTACAGCCTGCAGAAACACCATGAGCCAAATAAGGGTCTTTCCTTTATAAATTACCCAGCCTCAAGGACTTCTTTACAGAAAGAAAAATGGATAAGGCAACATTATAATAGACATTAGGTTATAAGGTAAATGAGCAGATGTAGATCAATGCTCTCATGCTATGTAATTCTCTCCCTTTCTTTAATTGTTTTGTCCTCTGCCATTCTTCCTCATCACCTGCAGCTTACATTTTTGAAGCTCCATTGCCTTGATTATTTTATCATTAAAAAGAGTTATGGTACGTAGAAATAGTCGTGTCCCATAGCTACGTCAATCTTTCTCACATAAGAGCTCCTACTATGGCTTAATCTCTTTAAGATTTCACTAAGTCTTAGGTAAAAACCTATTACAGTTATATTCCATTTTTTAAAAAATAAATATAACTGACTTGTAATACTCCCCTTCATTTTAAAATCTATTTACTTTCTCAACATTAGAAATCCACATGATTACATTCGGAAAGATAAATCCTATCCAATCAATAATCTTTAAGTTTTTCCTGGATTTATATTATCTACCAGCTAGCTAAACAGAAAGAAATTTTAAAAACTCTTTTTCACAGAGAATTTAAGGAATTTTGATAAAGTGGCATGTGTACCTAAAAACTGCTCAGGGATTCTTCCACATAAAGCTGGACGCAATGAAAAGATGCATGGCTAAGTGCTTATGAGGGCAAACTCTGAGAGACACACTGCTCAGAATCAAATACTATTCTTATTTTTTAATAGTGCCACCGTAGCAATTTATTTCCCCCCTCTTGCCTATGTTTTCTCATCTGCAAAATGCAGATAACAGGAATATCAGCCTGGTAGAGTTTTCATAATGATTAGATGAGTTAATATCACGAAATTACTTACAATATGGTACATAGTAAATACCATATGTGTTTGTTAAATAAGAATAAAATAGTGAGATTTAAAGCTCTCTTAGATGAATTCTTTCAAGGAAAGTGAACCACAAAAAAGAAAGAAGAGCTACTGATAATCACGTGTTCTGTCTCAGGGTCTTATTTAAAAAAAAAAAAAATCTGTTCTCAAATATAGGACACTCTTCCAAGAACATGTCCAAGAGAAACACAGTGGGCACTCCAGCACTTCCCTGGAGATAACAGTGGTTGAAGCAGGTGGATGCTTGAATGAATGATGTGAATAAATCAGAATCAAACCTACTATGCTCTAATGTAATAATTTGGTATATATAAAAATTGGAGATTGTAAAAAGGCAAACTTTAATTCAGGATTTCTAGCCAGTAAGCAAATACCAGTTGAACTGAAAACTTACTTCTGTATTTTTTTTTTTTTTTTTTTGAGACGGAGTTTCACTCATGTTACCCAGGCTGGAGTGCAATGGCGCGATCTCGGCTCACCGCAACCTCCGCCTCCTGGGTTCAGGCAATTCTCCTGCCTCAGCCTCCTGAGTAGCTGGGATTACAGGCACGCACCACCATGCCCAGCTAATGTTTTGTATTTTTAGTAGAGACGGGGTTTCACCATGTTGACCAGGATGGTCTCGATCTCTTGACCTCGTGATCCACCTGCCTCGGCCTCCCAAAGTGCTGGGATTACAGGCTTGAGCCACCGCGCCCGGCCTTACTTCTGTATTTATTCATTAATTTGGCATGTATTGAAATCTAGTTCTTTGGAAACCAAGAAGAATAGTTGCTGGCTTCAAGAAACTCGTTCTAGAGGAAGAACAAAGTATGCATAGAAATCAAACTGTATTCGGTACACTATTGAAGACATACAGCCAATGTAATGATAGTGTAATAAAAGGAGAAGGATACGATACCTGGGATAATAAATACAGACCTCTCAAAAGAAATCAAAACCTAAGGACATAAAAGAGTAAAGGCTGGAGTGAAACGTGTGGTCGAGAGGCATTCAGGGCAGAACAATCATGCTCTACAAAAGCACGGACAAACACACACGTGTGGCATGGCAGAAACAGAAAAGCTCAGAGTTGCTGTTAGTGGAATGTAGGGGAAAAAGTGATGGAAAAGAATCCAGAAAGAAAGGCAGTGGGGAGGGTCTTGAAAAGGCTGTGTACTACGGTGAGAAATGTATAGTTCTTCTTGTAAGCCAAAAGGTATTTCACAAAAAATGGATTGCTGGTCAAACAAGCTTGGGAAATGCTGAATAGAACATCCCCTTGGAGAGTACATTACATATAAAGGCTCTAAGAAATAACAATGAAACTATTTTTCAAACTCACTTGAATTGTGAAATTCCAATGGAATTCCATTTTCTGGAAATAAGTATTCCCAGGAACACAGTTCAGAAAATATTATTTAGGCAATGGAGGGATAAAAAACTAGTCAAGGAGATGGGGCAGAAAATAACTTGACCACTAAGTAAGGAAATGGTAGGAGTATGTCAATAATAAAATCATTAGGAGGCAGAAGGTGGACTAAGAGGGAGGGAACAGAGTGTAAAGTTATCTAGGGGCTTTATCATTTATCACAGAGCAAGTGCTTGCTCTCTGCCTTTAATGTGTCAAACACACAAAAGAAAGTTCAGACAAATTCAAAGAAACAGGCCAGGCAGGATGGCTCACGCCTGTAATCCCAGCACTTTGGGAGGCCAAGGCAGGCCTATCATGAGGTCAGGAGTTCAAGACCAGCCTGGCCAACATAGTGAAACCCTGTCTCTACCAAAAATGCGAAAAATTAGTCAGGCATCATGGCGGGCACCTGTAATCCCAGCTACTCGGAAGCTGAGGCAGGAGAATCACTTGAACTCTGGAGGCAGAGGTTGCAGGGAATTGAGATCACACCATTGCACTTCAGGACAGGCGAAAGTGCAAGACACCATCCCCTCCCCCCAAAAAAAAAGAAAAAGAGAAAAAAGAAATATAAAAGAGAAATTGTCTTCAAAGAACTGACAGATAGGCAGTGAACAGGTAGATAGGTAGAGAATGCTAAAACTAAGACAGAGCCAAATTTGTTAGACTGGCACAGTTTCTTCAGTGGTCACAGACTGCATTCTGAGCTGGTTTTCCAGTCTGTGTGGTGCCCCACTCCTCCTCAACATCCCATAGTAATGCCCTTAACATTCCTATTCCTACTGCACTTCTTTTACCAGAAAAGATTCCATTCATTTACACCTAAGTTTGAATTTAAATAGATACATTTTTCTCACAAATATTTCTAAGTTAAACCTTAGTATTGGTACACATTTATGGCTTCACCCTTTGGACATAAATTACCTCAACAAAGGAAGGCAGTGCAAATGCTTGTGGAAAAAGAAAAAAGTCGGAAGTATCCTAAGAACCACAGGGCACAGGGGATGGCCTACGCCTTGTTAAGGATAGCTGTGGGTCCGCAAGGAGAAAAACAGTAACAGCCAATCAGCCTTCCTCCAAACATCTGTGA